TTCAGCACCACAGCTCAAAGGCATCAATTCTCCTGTCCTCCCTAGTCATTGTCCAACTCTCTGATGCATAACAAGTGATTGCAAAGACCATGGCCCGTATCAGGTGCACCTTAGTCTCCAGAGAGACACCAATGCTCCGAAATCTAAGATGGCTAAGAAACTTCTTAACTTCAAAAAAGCAGACAAGTTAACTGTTGGAAATTCTATAATTAAGTAAAATGTACAATAATTTACAATTATACAGCATTTTACAATCTGTTAAATATATACACACACATATATTATATATATATATTTGATACCCTGAAATAAAGAAATGTATTAACTCTTTTCCCTTCCCTTTCTTCTTAGAGAAATGGGCAGGGCTAAGGAGCACCTGCTCAGGAAAGGAATATAAACGTATCACCACAAAGAATAAAGGGGAGAAAGGTAAGGCCTTGGAAATAGCCACAGATTTTTTTAAAGGAAGGAAAGACTAGAATGTTAAACATGAGGGAAACCCAGGGACTGTAGGAGAGTTAAGTGATATAAAGGGCAGAGTGTATGTGACAGAAAAGGAGAGACACACATTAAGTGTTCCACATTTTGAAATAACATGAGAACATGATGGTGCAAGAGATGGAGCAGAACCTGGTGGCTTCGCAAAATACAAGGAGACGGTCTCCAACTCGGAGTGAGTTGGGTTCAAAATGCATCCGGTTGCAACAGAAGCTTCCTTGGCCCTTCACATGAGAAACTGAATACAGTTCACTTGAGGATCAGCAAGTTCACACAGTGGCAGCATCCTGGGTGCATCAATCAAGTTTAGCATCTTACAAGCGTGGAAAAGAAGTTTCCATGCAGTGACGTGTGATATCGAAGGGAAGTCGATACCTGAGCCATCTCTTGGAGATTCCTGCTGAAAGGACCGCAAGTGTTTCCCCAGAGAAAGCACTCGCCTGGGTATGACTCAGGGCCGGGCAGGAATTCGCATTATGTATCCGGGTGGTGGGAAGACGGAGAAGTATGCCTACAAAGAGTAAAGAGCCAGGAATGGGAAATGCACTAAACAACCTCCCTGGTGGGCAGGCTGCCTCCCCAAGGACAAGAAGACCTGAGTCCTGCATGTAACCACGATCAAGCAATGCCTGGGATGTCACCAGTGCATAGAAAAAAAGGGGGCTGAAAGGGTCCGCCTAAATAAATAAAAAGAGTGGAACTCAAAGCAGGCAAAAAGACAGAAAAAAAGAGATATGATCACATCAAAGGGGCATGAAAAAACCTCACCATTGCTTCTATACAACATTAGGTTGCCTATTCTCAACTGTTTATTACACCATTCAAAATACCAAAGGAGAATACTGTTATGACTCTTAGGATGGGTTAAATGCCAAAGACTTCTGCTGCTGGTATGAGTAACTTGGGATTACAATGCCGTCTGGCTGATTCACTGTAATGGACACACGATGAGTCAACCTTTAAAGGGAGTCTGTCAAATTCTGGCTATTTGAATGTGACTGTAGGGATGATTAAGAGGCCACACCAATTACATAAGAAGAATTCTCATGTAGCTTTGAAAAAACACATTTATTCTCCTAGGAAATGCTCCAACACAGGGGCACTGAGACTCCAGGAGGAAGTATCTGGTCAAGGGTTGGGAGGTCCTAAATATCTCCTGGTTTGTTATTTTTTAAAAAAAGAAGACAAGGAAGGTGAGCATTTAGTTAAAGGACAAGTATGTTACTCTATCCTGACAGTGATGCTCCCCAAAGACATTCTAATTATCCTATGCCCAGATAACACTAAAGATAGAAGATTGTTGCTGTTGTTGTATACCATAGAGTCAGAACTGACCCATAGCTGACCCTCCAGTGGGTTTTCAGAGGCAGTTAATCACAAGGGAGGAGATTGCCCATCCTTCTCCCACAAAGACAGATGATCGGGCAGTTCAAAAGACCTCCCGCCTTTCTTAGATGTCTCATGCCTATTCAAAAACAAGGAAATAAGATACTGGAATAATAAGGAAGAGAGTCCTTACCTAATGAGATCACGTTCCCATAATTTTCTAACATCACTTCTCTGTAGAGATCTCTCTGAACAGGGTCCAGGCATCCCCATTCCTCTCGAGTGAGGTACACAGCCACATCCTCGAATGTCACAAACTCCTGAAATAATACATCCTGGCTGCTCTGGGGAATAAACCCACTACAGCACCATGGCAAGAGAACAAAGATGACAGAGAGCGAGCCCAGTGTGTACTTACGTTGGGAGCCTAGAGAACAGATTTAAGATTTTTCAGAGTAAGTCCCATAACCCTGTGAGATCTAATAAGCACCCAACACACAGCACAGTGGAAAAAAGAACTGATAAATTGCTACGGATAAGAATTATGATTGCTTGTGTTGCTCGGGATACGGGAAGGTGATCTGGGAGAAGACCAAGTGTCTAAAGAGGATCCGTTCCCAAACGGGGGTCTGTTACCTATGAGAACTTCCAAGCAAAGTTTACAAGTGGGATGATCGAGAGGCCACTCTCAAGCAAGAGTTTCTTGAGAAGCAGAGGGATCCTCAGCTCACCTGGTACCTGGCTGTCAGCAGTGCAGCTGCTTGGTCTCCTGGGCTTCCCTCGTGGGGAAGAGCAGGCACCTGGAGAACAGGTGGCGCTGAGGGGGGGAGAAAGGAGCCAAGAGTGAGAGCAGCTCTTCCCCAGGCTCCCAGACCGGAAGAGGCCTCTCCAGCCCGTGGAGAGTCAGTGGACCCTTCCTCACAGTATCCTAGTTAAACCAGTGAACATACTTCCATTATTAAGTATCTCTACTCTTGCTCCTCGCATACCCTGCGTACACATGTATACCTACCTGTTCAACAGTAATTCATTATGAAAGTTCTTATTTCACTTAATCCTCATGACATGACATACTTTGGAGGGTAATCACACCTATTCTGCAGACTAGCAAAGCAAAGCACAAACACTTGCAGTGAGTTCTCCAGGACCATGGCTAATTAGCATACTACCTACCTTTTGCCCATGTATTGTTCTGTACATTTCATGAAATCTTTCTCTCATGAATAGGGACTATCTCTGCAACCAGTGTATAGGAACCCCAAGAATAAGGAATGGGGAGCTCTGGTAGCCAGTGGCAAAAAGCTGAATTTCAATCCCAGAGGTAGGTGGTTCAAATCCACCAGCTGCTCTGCTGGAGAAGGAGGGCCAATCTCCTCCTGTACCAGTCAGATCTGATTTGACGGTACAGGCACACATACAAAAATAATAACAATTAAAATTTTCTTAAAAAAGAACAAAGAACGTTCACCCCTACAATCCTTTCACACTGACTGTCCCATAGCAGACCATACGACCTACCCCACCTATTGCCGCCACATTCAGGTGATCTTAAGCTCTGGAGTTGGCCACAATCTAAGGCATAGTTCCTTACAAAATGCAAGTAGAACAAGAAAGAACCAACTTATATGGTAATAGCAATGTAACCATGTTATATAATGGTAAATATTCATCATATGGGCACTGCTCAATTAAGTTATTAAAAGAGTGCTTTCTTGGTCAAAATTAGTCACAGACACTGCAATTGCAAAAGAACGGCAGATGGTAAAGCATATGAGGTCATCAAGGAGTGAGAATCTGAATGAAGGGAACTGGGAGAGGGGCAGAAGTGAGAAAACTTTACTGACAGCCAGGCAAAGATTACAAAATGTAGTAAAAGGGGTACACCTTAGAAATTATTCTGCATGTGCTCACTGGGAATGAGGTGACAATGGGCTGAGGGAAAGAAGCCAGAGCAAAGTGAATACTACTTTGCTTATTAAAGAATGATAGGCTGTCCTGGAGAGTCCCAGGACCTTAACAGAGAGGTCTAAGTAAGGGTCTAATTGTATTACATCTGTTCTCTCTTTCAGATTTCCCTCTACGGGTCACCGTCTTACTGAAGTTCTTGGTCTCTCATACCCAAAGACTCCTTTATGCTCCCATCTTCCAGGTGTAAGCCCCTTCTCTGCCTTACCCCCAGTGAGTCCCTGTTCCAAGTCAGAATCCTGCACGAACTGAGCTTCTGGGGATAGACCCTCTGACTGGGCGTCCAAAGACGGAAGCTGGACCCTTGGTGATCCTGTTGCTTCCTGGACTGACATTTTCTCCATCCCTGTTCTGGAGAACAATGACCATCACTGCAGGGAGAGATTGGGAAAAATTATTGTAATAAAAGGCGCCACCATTGTATATCCTCAGGACTTAGAAAAGTATCCTCTACATTGTTGATACTCAATTTTTTAAAAATGGTGATGATTTACAAGCCCAAATAAATAATGGAAAGGATATAATTCCATTTAAAATATTTAATAATCATCAAGTAGTCCTAGTGTTCAGGTTTATCTGAACTCCAAGAGACCTAACAGTAAGGAGCTGCACTGCAATTCTGAAGGCAAGTAATTTGAATCCACCAGATGCTCCACAGGAGAAAGATGGGCAATTTCCTGTGCGATTAAATTGTGTCTGAAAACCTGCTGAAGGGTCGATCCGGACTTGACGGTACACAACAACATTTAGGATCCAACTCAAAGGCAGGAGGTTTTAATCCCCCAGCTGCTCACTGGGATGAAGATGGGCAGTCTCCACCTGTACAATTTACAGCCTCTGAAAACCTGCTGGAGGGTCAGCTATGAGTTGAGCCCATAACAACACTGGGATAACAGCTCTTGTAGCATAGAACATTGTATACTATCCTACTAACCAAAAGGTCCATTGGCTCGAAGCCACTAGCTGTTTCTGGAACAGTTTCCCTTAAAAACTTACGGCCCTGTAACCTGATGTTGATTATGCTATCTAATAATCCAGTTCATGGCAGGAGGTTTGGGTTTTATGAGGATCACTTTAAGTAGAAAAGGGAGTTCAGGTGGCCTAGAACCTAAGAAGTTGCACTGTCAACCGGAAGACCCGCAGTTGGAATTCACCAGAAGCTCCGGAGGGCGAAAATGGGCAATGTCCTTCTCTGCAATTTGCAGCTTCAGAAGGATCAGCCATGAGCCGACTTGATTTTGACTCGATTGTAATGAGCTGAGTTCAATAAGCAGGCATGACCTCCGACAGAGTTTGATAAGCGTAATTAAGACGTTGTGCTACTTTTTAAAAAGGCAACCAAGGCAGTACAATAGAACAGTTGTAAGATAGCTGGAGAAAGTTTAAAGTATTTGACATTTTGAAACATCCAAGACTCAGGTCGGTGCCAAGAAAAAGATGGAAATTACGATTACTCATCTCCTTTAAAAAGTAGGTCCCCCAAGGATTTAACCCTGTCAGTCTACTTTGGATTACTAACCAGGTTTAACTCTAATATCCCACTCTTCGGAGTCCCTTCACTCAGACTAGATAAGGAGGCATTTTTCCACAGTCCGAGAGCAATAGTAGATGTGCGATTCAAACAAGTTTTACTTTTTCGCCCTCCCTTTAAACCCAATGAGCCCAAAGCATGGATCTGGACTGGTTTTAAACATGACAGGTTTCCGTGCTCCTTCCACAACCCTCGCCAGGTCTTCAGAAGACCTTGCCCGGTGCTGTCCTCCTCCCACTTCCCTTTTAGGCGAAAACACAGTCCCAAAGGGGCGAGGAGGGCCACACACTCAAAGCTCACACAAGGACACAGTCGCCGGGTCCTGACGGCAGGGCCCCCTGTCCGCGGGGCGTTGGGGCGAATCGGGATTGACAAGCTTTCCCACCCCAATTTCCAACTGCCCCAAGCAAAGGGCACTGCTGTCTTCGGAGCTCAGATGCCTCCTCCTCCTCCTCCCGAGGGAGACTTAGGAACCACCCGCATCGCGGCTTCCAGAAAGTCTTCCGGGTAGTTCACCGGAAGGACGGGTCAGAGGGGCGGAACCAAAGACGTCCCGCCCCAGCGTTTCCGGGCGGCTCTAGGTGCCCGAGGGCGGCTGCTTCTCGGTGGTGCTTCCGGAGGCGGAGTTTAAAGCCAGGGAGAGAGGCTGGTGGGGGTGAACCGTGGAGGTTGCTTGGAACTATGTGTCTTCTTTTTTTAGGCCCCATCAGTACAGCCTCTAACTAGGGATCAGCTCCTGAGAATGTTTGGCGTGGCTTTTCTTTATCCTTGTGGTTACACTCCCCCCACCCCTTTTTGGGAGGACATTGCCCATCTTTCCCCAGGGGAGCAGCTGGTGGAATTGAACTTGTTGCCTTTGGGTTAGCAGTATAACGTTTTACTCACTTGGCCATCAGAGCTCATATTGAGTACAGATTTGCAAAACTGGGTACTAGACAAAAATTCTTGCCCTAATAAAACTTAAATTCTAGCTGGAGGAGGCAGAGTAAGGAAAAATATTAGTAAACCAACCTATTTTATGGTATCTTAGAAAACAGACGGCTGGTCCGATGGTAGTGGGTTATCAGAAACTATTAACATTACTGCAACTAAAGTTGGTATACAACCCCCCACTGCTGAATTTGACTGGATTTTTTTAAAAAAAGAAAACAGACACAATGGGGGAGGGGGAGCCAGTATGGGATAGCAGTAGTCCTTGAGATGGGAGAGTGGGCTATAGTAAAATTAAGTCAAAGGTGGATCTGAGAATGTGATATTTCAACTAATATTTTAAAAGGCAGATCTCAGCACTGAGAACTTCCTGAGGTTTACTTGCACTTTCTCTACCTTTATTATTCCTAGAAATATTTACTGAAGGCATCAATGCATCTCTATTGACACAAAATGCACATTGGTTCACCACGGATCTTTATAGATTTTCTCAGTGTCGATTTCAGGTATGAAGACGCTAATGGGAACATTTCTCTAATATGGTCAGGTCAAGGAACTGAGGTGAGGGTCTGTCAACTACTATGACCATCCATTCTAATTGCACACCTAAGGAAAGAGGGCAACAACCACAGAAAGGATTTATGGACCCAATATGTTATATATGATACTGGCTTGTCAGGTACCATTCAGTAGATTATTCTAAGCAATCCTATCAAGAACAGATCAAGACTTTGCTCTATTTTGTGCCATTCTCATGTTCTCTGCTATGCTATTGTTGAAGTCACTGTGTCAGTCCATCTTGCTGAAGGTCTTCTTTTGCTGACCCTCTACTTTTCCCAGCATGAGATCTTCTTCCAAAGACTGGTGCCTCCTGCCATGCCCAAAGTATGCAGAGACATTTCACCACCTTTCCCTCTAAGGAGCACCCTGGCTGGATTTCCTCCAAAACAGGTGTTTGCGCTGGCCCAAGATCTGCTTATTACCTGATTCCCATATGCTCCTACTCTGGAAGGGAGAAGAGCTTTGGATATTCCACTTCTCCTAGTGTATCCTCAGAATTAAATGCAGGCTTCTTTAGGGGAAGAATGATCCCAAATTTGCCATGGTGTTTATCTCACACATTGTGGAAATGTTACTAGACACATAGTCCCTGGAAAAGAACATCAAACTTGGAAAAGCAGAAGGTGGGTGAAAGAAAGGCAGGCCCTCAATAAGATGGATAGTAACTGAGAGAACGGGCTTGAGGATGGTGCAGGAGCAGAGTTTCATTCTGTTGTACGAGTCACTAATTTGACTGAACAGTACCTAACAGATCCTCCAAGGACTTTGAGTAATTTTCAGTCAATGGATTCTAGGTATGCAGATTGGTTCATAGCTGGAAACTGGGCAGAGAACTGGGACTTTTCACTGAGAACTACTGTTTCTGTACCTCTCATTTCCACTCCCCCGCCCAAAGATTTAATATCTCATTTATACTTTCTTTCTTCGTTCATCTCCTTAACTTGCACATACTTCCTGTTTCCATTCCCTCACACACACTTCTGTTCTTGTGAGACTCTAACACATTGTGTTATTAACTTTTTCAAGTCTGATCAAACAAGGGTGGATTTTGGAGCATAAACTTCATCACAGTGCCACCGCTCTTGAAAGAAGTGAGTCTGACTTTGTATACCACATTAGTTCGTCATTGGCTATAGATGGTGGGTGACAGCTTCCATCACCTGAGGACAATTCTCCAGAGAAGGGTGACAACACTTGGCAGCTGACATTCAAGAGCAGCTAAAATGAACATGCTAAGATACGGGCAGGGGAAAACAGTGTACAACGCACACACTTGGCAAGTATTTACTGGCATTTATTGTGAGCCAGGCAGTAGGCAAGAAGCATGGCTTCAGCAACACTCCAAAGTACTCCTTTCCTGTCACTAGCAAACAGGCTCAAGTTAACCTTATACACACTCATCTTACCCCATCACACCCTTTACCAGGCCTTCCCACAAGGTAGGGATAACCAGACCACACACCCTTCTAATTAGATTGAGCTGCAACACAAACTGAAAGTATATTATAAGCCATTACCCTAGAATGGAGGTAGTTCACAAGTCAACTGGGAATCAGAACCCTTGGACCAAGATGCTTAATTCAACTAAGCTGAATTCTTCCAAGAACTTTGGTTTCCTTCATTCTTGTAATATCCCTCTTGGTAATGGAATGGAAACTGGACCACAGTTTGAGAAGTCTTCCTTTTTCTCCTAAGGTACTTTATCCCTTCTTCTTAAGACTGAATTAACCAGCAGTTTCTTCTGAACTTGGATTTCTTTAATTTCCCTTCCTTTTAGTAGCTAACCATGATGCTACTAGGACAAAACAAAAACAAGGTAGAGTGTGCTTCATGGAGATGCTATGGAATGATGAGGCAGCAGGAATGCCTTCCAATCTCTAAACTCCAATTTTTTCCAAATACCTTGAAGTCAACTTTTTCCCCTAAAAGGTTTAATAATATAGGGAAAGACTGGAGGATTCTAGTGGCTGGAATAATTTCTAGAGATGGTTCGCTGCTGAGGTACCAAGACAGATTATCATATGGACAATCCTCTCTTTCCTAGTGCACTTCCCTAGTTCTCAAACAAGACGGAAACTACAAATAAAGCTTATTTCGACTGCATTCACAGGGCTTTTCCCAGTGTCAGTTATCTGAGTTTCAAAAAATGAGTGCCATCTGAAGGTTCTTCATCTACTATATATTCATGGTCTCTCATGTAGATTTCTCAATCATGAAGTTGCTAACAAAAGCATTTTCCAGTGATCAAAGTAAACAGTTATTAACTTAGCAAAGATCCTCCAGTGTTGCTAAAGGCTGAATTCTAACTGAAGGATTTCAACACATCTGTAGGTTTGATGGTGGAAAGAAGAGAAAATGCTTGCAGTTTTTGTTTTCATTCATAGACAAGCAAGGTGATCTTCAGGTAGGCCTCTCTTTAAGTGGTAAGAGTCATTCTACAAGAGAAACACCTAAACACTTCATGTATTTAAGGGATCTGTTCTCTTGTGGCTTCGCAGATGTTCAAAGAGGCTACAACTCCAGCTGAAACTCATTCCGCATTCTTCACATTGATAAGGATCCTCACCAGTATGGATCCTTCGATGGTGACTGAGATGTGACTTCAGTGTGAAGCCTCTTCCACATGCATTACATTGACAGGATTTTGCGCTGGAATAGTTTTGATGCTGTTGAAGGTGAGGACACTGGTCCACATCGTCTCTACATATATCACATTCATAGGTTTTCTCTTCTGAGTGAGTTCTGTAATGCTGAATAAGGTCTGTCCCTGAATTAAAAGTTTTTCTGCATAGATCACACTTAGAAGGCTGCTCTTGTAATTCAAGCTTCTTATCCTCAAACACTGTTAAGTTCCAACTGTATGCTTCTTCACAAAGGCCATTTTTCTCACTCTTCTGGCCCATGTGGACAACCTGATGCTCGATTAGGCTGACATACTGAAAAAAGATTTCTCCACATTCTTGACACTGATGGGATTTCTCTCGGGTGTGGAGTCTCAGGTGTCCAGCAAGGTGTGATCGCCGGCCAAAGCTCTTTCCACATTCATTACACTTAAAGGGTTTCTCGCCACTGTGGACACTGTGATGCTGGACAAGATGCGATCTCACTCTAAAGGCTTTCCCACATAAATGGCAGACGTAGGGCTTCTCACCTGTGTGGACTCGCTGATGTTGAGTGAGGTGCACACGCTGATTGTAGCTTTTCCCACATTCGTCACACTTAAATGGCTTCTCCCCAGTGTGTATTCTCTGATGTTGAGTAAGATGTGCACTCTGAATAAAGCTTTTACCACATTCCTCACATTTATACGGTCTCTCTCCTGCAGGGGACTTTTTATGGACGTATGTGGCTTCCTTGCAAGTTATCCTCTTTGAAGTGGGCTGTCTGAGTATCGCAGTCCCGGGAATTCCCTGGTTTCTGCCCAGCTTGTCTGGGTGTTCGCAGTCTTCTCTGAAATCCTGAACTTGAGAAACTGTTCTTTGGATTTTTTCTGACAGCTCCAGGTCTGGTTCTGAAAGTTCTGACATTTTCTTCTTAACATTCACTTTCGTATTCTTCCTTCTTTTATCACTGCCTGGAAAAAGAAAAAAAAAGAAGAAGAGATGTCAATGTTAGCTGATCCTTCACAGAAGAAAAGAAACCTGTAGGAGAAAATAGTATGATCAGTGAAGCTATTCTCTAAAGGGAGTATCAAAGTGAGTCCATGTATATATTGATGGCAACAGGAATGGGGGGGGGAGGAAACATTTGGGATGTGGCCAAAAAAAAGACAAAGACAAGACTAACTTAAAAGGGTGGTGGAAGTTATTGATGTTAGGCGACAGCAGGGAAAAGGAAAAATTTTAGTTAAGTGGAAAAGAAGGGGAGGAAATTCTAAAATATTTAGAAGGGACAGGAAATGAAGAATGGGTCAGTATCTCAATTTAATTTGGGTACAAACAATGATGTAGAACAAAACAGATGTGGAAAGAACTGAGAAAAACTAGAAAAAAGGAAAGCACAGGATTATGGGGCGCACAAAGAATTGGAGAAAATATCTAATTAGAAAAATGGAAAGAGAGAGAAATGAGCAAGCAGGATCGCTGTCGAAAGGGCAGGAGAATACGAATCCCTCAGCCAGCTCTCTAGCTTCGGTGTCCTCCCCACAGCACCATGCACGTCTCCTTTGGGAAAGCTTATCACCTTCAACAGCTGCTGTCTTCCCTTTCTCCTAAGATAATCAGCTCCACAAGGGCATGACCTGTATGTGCTCCATTCACTGCTATCTCCTGAACATCTAGCACTACAGGCTCTCAATAAATACAGCCGGATGAGCAAATAAAGTCATAAAAAAGGGGGGGGACAGGAGATGAGTGAGTGTCAACTGGGAAACGATCTGAAAGGCAACTCAGAAAGGCTATGAACTAGATGGTATTTTAAAGCAACTGCTTTCAAGCTCTGCGGCACTGTTCCAAATGAGCAGTCACCAAAGAAAAGGGGACAGAAGTGGCTGAGGAAATACCTAAACTTAGGTAATGGCCTTTAATACACTGTTGTTAGGTGTTGTCAAGTCAGAACTGACCCATGGCTGACCTTCTGATGGGTTTTCAGAGGCAGTAAATCGCATGGGAAGGGATTGCTCATCTTTCTCCTGCAGAGCAGCTGGTGGATTCATTCGAACCATGTACCTTTGGGTTGACAGTGCAATTCCTTACCACTTAGCCACCAGAGCTCCCTAATGAACTTCATGACTCCTATTCCATGAAACAGGTAGCAGCGATGGCTAAACTAGATGTTAAGTAGACGAGGCTGGAGACATCAAAGGCGCAATTTAAAGATAATTACAATAAAACCTGGACCAATCATAGAACTGTCTGAAAAATCTGAAAAGAGTCTTTTAAGTTCAAAGTACAGTTTATAGTAATCTTGAAAATATACATATATATA